CCCGGCGAAGACCCGGGCGCGGCCCCGCGCGTGCGTGCGGTGCTCGTGGGCTACGACGAGCACTTTTCCTTTGCCAAGCTGAGCGAGGCGTGTGCGCACCTGCGCGACCCCGACTGCCTGCTTGTGGCTACTGACCGCGATCCGTGGCACCCGCTCAGCGACGGCAGCCGGACCCCTGGTGAGCGCGAGGGTGGCAAGGATAAGCGAGGTGAAGGGGGCGACCTGGTATTTCACCTTCATGCCTGGTGGTGAGGGTCGGGGGAGGGGCGTGTCCGGGTGACAGGTAGGGAACCGGAGGGTTGCTAGCGCGGCTACCACCCAGAAAGAGCCCAGGGTGCTTTAGTGTCAAGGCCTGGTAATTCTTGCAGCTGCCACACTGTGAGGGGACAGCAGTGGTGTCCCCGTTTGACAGATGAGGAAATTGAGGCCCCCTATGGCTCTTGGGATTGCAGGCGGAATCCAGATACCCTGACTCCCAGCCCCTAACCTTTCTGAACCAGCCCCAAGGAATCCTGTCATTTTGTCTCACCTGCTGTTGGGGTGAGATGGGAGATTTGAGGACAAAACCTGGAAGGATGGTCTTCCTGTTGGGGAGTTGGAACACCATGTCCGGAGGCAGGTGTGCAGGAGCACAGGAGGTGGTTGGAGTTTGACCTGAGTCCAGTTCCAGCTCCAGGGCTCTGTAATCTTGTTCATTACATAACCTCAGAGCACCTCCCCTGGCTGTCAAATGGGTATCCAGAGCCCATGTTATAGCACCTCAGTATCCGTTATTTCGTTTCCAAATTATTCTGGAGATGGGGGTTATTGTTCCATTTGTCAGTTAAAGGAACTGAGGCTAAGAGAAGGGGAGTGAGCTGCCCAAGAGTTCAGGGACCTGAACTTGGCTCTTGTGGCCACCCAACCCCCACCCCCTCCATTGAAGGCACTCTTTCTTCACTGCTGTCATCGGGGTACTCAGACCTGCAGAGGAGGCAGGAACAGGTGGAGGTTCCTACATCTTGGACGGTTCAACTTAGACAAGAGCAGATGGTAGCAAGACGTTAATTGACAGTAGTGAGTGTGTGGACAAGTCAGTACCCCAGTGAGTAGGCTGAGGTCAGGGACAGCTCTCCCATCACTCCCTCCTTGCTGGCGACTGACCCAAACAGTTGTTGATACCAAAGCCTGGTACCAAAACCAGAGGTCCCTGGTTCCATTCCCAGTCAGAGCATATGCCCAGGTTGTGGGCTTGATCCCCAGTAGGGGGCGTGCAGGAGGCAGCCGATCCACATTGTTTCTATCTCTCTCTCTCCTTTTCTCACTACAGTCAATAAAAACATATCTTTTTTAAAAAAAGAAAAGCCCAGTCAGCGTGGCTCAGCAGTTGAGCATGAACCTTTGATCCAGGAGATCGTAGTTCGATTCCCAGTCAGGGCACATGCCCAGGTTTCAGGCTCTACCCCAGTGGGGGGCATGCTGGAAGCAGCCAATCAATGACTCTCTCATCATTGATGTTTCTATCTCTCTCCCTCTTTCTGAAATCAATAAAGACATTTTTCTTTAAAGCCATCTTACTAAAAAAGGAAATTGCGTTAAAAAAAGAGAAAGAAACATAGAACAGAGCTTGGGCTATGGCAGAACCAGTTCTAGGCTGGGAATCTATAGTTCTAGGCCTGTCCTAGCTCTGTTGCATGCCTACTTGCTGCATGACCACTCCAACCTCAGTTTTCCTATAAACCCAAAGTGAGGGCTCCCCCAGCTGCAGCAGCTCCTGCCTGTCTAGGCCATGCTGTGAAAAGTGAGTTTCTCCCCGGAGGCCTCAAAGCTCAGATTAAGGCTGTGGGTTAAGAGGCCCCCAGGACTCAGGAAGGGCGGTGTGGAATAACGGGAGAGGGCAGGCCCTGCCCGCTCCTGCCCCTTCCGTCTCAGCACCCGGTTGGCTGTGCACTGCCAGTCATTCCCACAGCCTAGAGGGGGAGGCAGAGGTTTAACAAGTACGGAAGTATAGCAGTGCTGTCAGGTCTGTACACTGAACGATGCAGCTTTGAGACAGTGGTTACAAATATTAATAAAGGCCTCCGTGATGCATAAAATCTGAAATAATGCAGATCTCTCACCTCAGTGTCCCCTCCCTCTGCAGGTTTCCTAAATTATGTTTACCTTAAAACCATGTGGCAGCCACTTGAGCTGGCAAATAGAAATGCCTGCTGTGTCAGGAATACGTCACCACCAAAACATGTGACAGTCTTGGATTATAGGATGTTAAGAGGAGATCGTGGTGGTCTGAGGACTGAATTGAGTTCACAGACTCCCCAGCTAAGACGTTCACTCCCCCAGGGTAGGGCTCCTTGTGTTCACTGCTCTATCCCAGTGCCTAGCACAGTGCCCGGTGTGTATATGGGTCTCAGTAGATATTAGCCGAGAGGGTGAAATGGGGGCCGAGGATGATCCGCCCTGTCCTGATGAAAGAGGAAGAAGCTGACAGCTGAGAACTTTCTTGAGCCAAGAGAAACTCGAGGGTGACTCAGTTGAGCCCTTCCCATCCTAGAAAGAGTCTCTCACCAAGGGGGCAAATGGCTTTTCTTCCCTACCCACTTACGAAAACAAGTAGGCGAGTTCTAAGTCAAATGTCAGGGAGAACCGCCCAGTGGTATTGCTCTGAGCCAGCTCTGCCCTGGTCCTGTGACACAGGGGAAGTTCTCCTTGTCTGGGGCCACTTGACCCTTCTGAGCCTTTGGCTTAATAGGCTGTGAGACAGGAGATAGGAGGCCAGAGCCCTTGAGGCCAGACCAGCAGTGTACTGATAAATGTGTAGTCATTTGGGGAGCCCTGATTTATACCATTCGCCCATGTCTGTGGTACAAATACTCCCACCATGGTGGATTTTCATGCTACCAATGTGAAGTTACTGAACACAGAATTGGGAAGATGTGTGCACACCATTATATAGTATTTCCTTTGGTACAGATATAAATCATCTTACAAGCATAGATATTGGTAAAATTATTAGGAAGTGATGAGTTTTGAGAATGTATTACCTTTGTTTTAAACATAATTCATTTGATTGTAAGTTTATGTAAGTGGACTTTAAACAATGGCTTTTTTTAACCACCAGCTCACAGAATTCCTGAAAATGAAACACTTAGCGCTCCCAAATGAGTAGAAGCTGGCCCAGCACATGAGTGAGTCATACCTACCTGAATGCAATTTATCTGCCACTTTTTAAGCTGTGCAACCCTGGACAAGTTACTTAATGTCACTGGGCGTCAGTTTTCTCATCTGTAAAATGGGCTTTCATGAACACCCAGCACATCCCTTGGCGCTTTAAAATGTGCTTAATAAATTGTGATTATTATTATCATCATCATTTGTTCAGGGACATTAGTGTGAAGGCAGAACATTCTGGCACAAAGATGTGCCTGTGGGGTGGGCACAGTGGACTCATTGTGTGGGGCACATGGCGAGGAGTCAGAACTGTCCTTTTCTAAACAGTCCTCCTATTGTTAACCACTTGGGCGTGGTCCACAATTTTGGGTATTATAGTCACTGTGGCCACAGACATTTTCAAGCATGTAGCTTTTTGTCTCCAGTCTGAATTCTCTTCTTGTGACCACTGTCCCGGTGGAAACCTGCTGGGTCAGAGGTGCGAACGTTTCTGTGCCCTGCTGTGTTCCAAAAGCGCTGTGCCAGTTCCAGTGCCAAGAATACACGTTCTTGTAGCCATTACCACACCTGCTGCTTGGGAAGTGCTTTTCCATTTCCAAAGCACTTGCCCTGGGATGTCTACAGCGGCGCCTCTTTTTTTTTTTTTTT